GATTATTTTCCCATTAAATACAGATACCAGAAATATTTTCTAAATATTCAAATAGTTCTTAATCCTCTGCTCAATTACTTAAAAAAAAAAAAAAAAAAAGGCAGTTTATACTGTATGTTATTAATGACCTGGTGGAAGTGGATACTTGAACATGTTTATTCATTTGCTCAAACGTGAGCTCTCGATGATGCCTCATGGAGGTTTCCTCCTTTGCAGCGAGAGATTGTTTCCCTGCTAAGCATCTGCTAAAATGAAAATCCGGTCCTGTGACCAAGCTAAAGAGTGAACCTGATTGTGGTTCCTCTAAAGAGATAGATGGCTGGAAGGCAACCAGGGCCACCCACCTTCTCTATCTACTTACCTCTCCAGATAATCTCATCTAGTCCCAGGGCTTTTAGTACCATCTACATGCTGTTCACTCTTATGTCATCAGTCGGGGTCCAGGAAAGAAACTCGAACCCGTGCTGGTCATGTATAGAATGTTGGAAAAGCTGGAAGGGCAAACTGGAGAGGGTGAGGTGACCCAGAGAACAGCAACAGCAGGAAGCTGCTACCCTCCCGAACGCTGGAGAGGCAAAGGGGGAAAGAGGTTTGTGAGGGTTTAGGAAGAGTGAGAGCTGGGAACTTGGAGGAGAGTCTGTCCACTGGAATTCAAACCATAGAGGGGATTCAGCACTGCCCAAAGCAGGCAGAGGGGAAAGGACTTGAGCTTCTCCCTTCCTCCTGACCTTTACTCTTCTACCAGCACCGTCTCTTGGACAAACTTTCCCAGAAGCCATTGGCAAAGAAGTTTTGGAAATGTAGTTTGCATGGATGATCCCCCTCCCTACTCTAACTTCTATACAGAGCAGAGAAGGGAAGAGAAGGAAATAATTCAGTGTACCAACAGGCGAAGGGTGGACGCTACTACTAAATCAGCATCTCTAGTTCAGACCTCTTCTCTGAGCCCTATTCTTCTTCTCTGACACCTCCACTTGGGTGCCTAGAGTCCTCACTTAATGTGGCCCAAAGAAAACTTCTGTTTTACCAGCCAACTCCTTGGTATTGCCCCTCTTAATACGAGACTCACCCAGCTCCGCCAAAAATAGGGGTGTCAGCCTCGCTTCCCTCTTTCCTTACTCCCTACTTCTTCCAACCTTGTAGCAAGACCTGTGGATTCCACCTCCCCACAACAGGGCCTCCAGTCTTCTCCGTCTTTGCTGTTCCCATCTGAGGCCAAGCCACCGCCATTTCTCCCCGAAGTAACGATGATGGCTTCCTAACTGGCCATGCTACCCCACTGCGTCTCCAGGGGTCAGTTCTTGAAGAGCTTGAGGGCACTTGTAAGGAGTCAGGAGTTTATTCTAAGTGCTATAGGAGCCACTGAAGGGGGTAACATGAAGTCATTTATATCGTAGAGATCCAGCCTGGCTTCCTTGAGGGGAATAAAATAAGAAAGAACAGAAATATAAGGCAATTGCATTCTTCAGCCCATCATTCCACCTCTTGCACCACTGTCCCCTTGTTCAGCAGCCACCGACCCTACTATTTCTCCAACACACCAAGCTCCTGCCCTGGTGAGGGCTCCTGATTTGAGCACAGCTGGCTCCACCCGTTCAGCCTTCCCCTCTCAGAGATCTCTCCTGACCAGTGATAGCGGGTCACAAATATCCCATCTTTCTCCTTCGGGCACAAAGTAGGAGGGCACTTCTTGGAACCCTGGAAGTTAGGTGCGGCCGTATGAATCGAATCGCTTTGGCCAATGCAATGTGGGTGCAAGTGACCTGTCACTGCTGGGTGGAAGCTTCACCGCTCCCTTCCCTCTACCACAGTGACAGGCCATGTTCCTGATAGTGGCTGCTCGGCTGGCCTAAGACCAGGGCTGAGGATGAGAATTAGTCAGAGAACTGCCAACCCACGACATGTCACCTGAGCAAGAAATAAACCTTTGCTGGTTTAGGTGGCTGAGACTTTCAGATGGTTACTGCAGCCTACCCAGCTTATCTGGGCTGATACGGTCCTTCTGTCCCTCACATCAGCCTGCATTACATCTTCATGGACCTCACCACTCCCTGCTAATTCCCACTTGTTCTATTGATTGATTTTTTTCCCACTGTGTACCCCTCTCGAAACCTCATGAGAGCAGGGTCTCTGTCTACCCAATTCACCACTATAATCCCAGCCTCTACAAGAGTGCCCAGGGCACAGTCAGTAGGCAAATATCAATCGATGAAGCCTCTGATGCCTTACACATACAAGCATCTGTTGCTTGAACGCTATTTTGCTGAGACAACCGGAGTGAATTCGTCTGTGCTCAGTACATCTGAAGACATAAAACCTAAAGCTTCACTTCACCATTTGAATGCTAGAACCACTGCCTCGGCTACACCCCTCCCACCGCTTCCCAGGAAATCAAGTTGCTCCCAGAGAGACCTTGGTCAGCAAAGGCCCTGCTAAATACCATAGGCAACAGACAAATAAAAAAGAAACAAAATCTTAGAGCCATAAATCGAAAGTGTGAAGTCACCCAGAGTTAGGTGGGTGGGACAAAATTCATGTTAATTCTGTTTTTACCACTAAATGGCTAACAGTTGTTCCATCCTTTTTAAAGTTTTCTATGCCAGCAAAATCTAATTCCCCAGAAATGGTCAAATCTCAAATTTCACTATTGTAATAAAATATGAGCACCGAAAAAAACTTCAGTGATTACTCAATTCATAGCACTCCAAGTTATCATCTGGCTTGACTCCTTTTCATTAGAAACATTGTACGGTCTCCTCGTGGTCAGCCAGAAGCTTAGAAACTCAAGTTATAGATTGTATTGTCTAAACTCGCTGCCTTTTTATTTTATTTTTTTCTTTATTGATTTTAGAGAGAGAGGAAGGGAGAGGGAGATAGAAACATCGGTGAGAGAGAACATCGATCAGCCACCTCCTGCATGCCCCTCACTGGGGATTGGGCCCATAACCTCGGCATGTGTCCCAAACCGACGACGTCTTGGTGCATGGGTCCAACGCTCAACCACTGAGCCACACCGGCCGGGCAGTCACTGCCTTTTTAAACCAAATGTATTAAAAATGTATTTTTCTACCACCCCATTATATAATTATAATAAGGCTGTAAAGAAGATCCTGCTTATAAAATAAACCCTGCATTATTTTTAGGTTTTCTATTTTGCTTCTAACCAAAATTTTCCTTAAGGTTTCAAAGTGTCTAAGAGAGTGAAGAAATAAACTCCTACTAAAAACTGTTAAGTTATTGTTGCTCCTGTTCTTACAGGATTCAGTGCCACTGTAGGACATTTCAGTTCTTTAGGGCAACCAGAGTAGGATCATTAATTATGTTCTACTTATTTAGCTGAGTCTCCTAAACCCTATAAAACAGATTACCTCCTCAATAAGCAAGTGCATTTTGTCTAATTTGCAAAAAGGAGTTTATCAGAAAAATACCACTTCACTGAACAGTTGATCTGAAACTACCAACTATTAACATTAATAGATGGCAATTTCTGCAAACTTGTCTAACCCAAATTCAATTTTATTAACCAGGTCCTAATCCTGAAGTTCAGATACTATTCACCTGTGGTGGAAACTTTTCAAAAACCATGAGCTCATCCCATTCCCCAACCCCCTATGCTGAAAATGGGACAGTTTAAATACTGCAGGTCTCTTGAACACAAAGCCATATTCACACAAAGAAAATCATTTACATGTGGTTAAAGAAACAGGAAATTTTCACATTGGCTTTAATATTTATAGTTGACCAAAATTTTCCTGAACTTGGTCATCATAACTAACACTTTTTATAGCACTATTTATTGCATCTTAAAAGTAAAAAAAATAAAAATAAAACTAGGCAGAAAGCATGCAGTTGAAGAAAACTCAATGTCGGTCTATACAATTATTTTTCACTTTCCGCGCGACAGACTTGATTTTGGCATTATAACCAATATTTTGCTTTACAGCAGTGACAAAATATTTGCCAGAAATGTTCTTTTCCTGGCATAGGTTTTCCAGGCAGTGGTTATTCTGCTAACGGAATTGCACTATGCTTTGCACTGTTAGAGGGATGCTCACTGGATTCTTAACCTTGAACTGAGGGACATCACGCAGATTTAGAAGCTGCTATCACTTCCTTTTCATCACTCCAGAGTGGATTGATTCTGTAAGTGATAGGGCAGGCGACTGAGAACGAAGGCCATTAAGAATTGAACTAAACACAGTCCCAAGTGTTGCTTTACATTTTTTTTAAAGAAATGAGTTCTGTGGCAACTCTAGGGAACATTCTCTAAATGAAGTATTCATAGTTATTAAAAGTAAATTATGCGTGGGAAAGGTTGCTGTTTTTGCCATCTTCTTCCTACTTAGGCAGCTCACAATTTAGAACAAAACGAATGGTAACACAGAAAAAGAAAGTGTTCAGTTAGAAAAAGGTACCCAGGCAGGGGACCCTCATGCTTCCATCTCCTTGGGCGTCGCTGCTGCCACCTCAACCCTAAGCAGCGAGGCCCTTCTCTCCTACAGAGCCGCCCGCCCTCTGTCCTGCCCTGTGTGTGAATGATGGTGCTCCAGCTATTAGTGATTCGGTTAAGCTTCAGGAGAGATTTGGAGCACAGTTTCAAAGGTAACTCGGCCTATAAAACTAAATCTCAGATACTGAGGTCAGGAAAGTTCTCTTCCGTTCTTTGGAATTTACAGCCCTAAACGTTCTTTGCAAAAGCAGGCATCTGTCTCAATATTGCCATCAGGTCTCCTATAAAGGTTGCAAACTTCGCAATTCCCACCCTGGCTGTCTTCTAATACCTACGCCCCAACAGAAGGGTGATCCATTCGGATTTCCTCTGGCCAATTCGGCAGCAAATCTGCGTCAGCCTTAATGAGGAGCTCTTGGGCTGACGTACACATGCCGTGGGACACTCGGAAATCACACCCATGTCCTTTTTGAAAGCAGACGGTCATTAGCAAAGGGGAGATGTACATTTGATCGAAATGTACAAAATTTATAACAGTGACATTTTTAGTTATTAGGCCACATGATTTATTCAGTAGTTTTTATGTTCCCAAATTACAATTTATGTCTATTCGTAAGTCTACAAAAAAGTTACCATTAGAATTGTCTGTGCTTATAAAATACCAACTTTTTTTTAACTGTTATATATTCTTATTAACACCAGTCTGTGACGAGTTACATAGAATCATAGGCACTTCAAAGGCTTAAAAAGACGTTTACAACTTAAATGCATTTTTAAAAACAAAAACTGTTTTTGTTTTCCTTAAAACCCTACTCATACCTTCAAATTGCAAGAAATTAACAAATACAGTGGCCAAAGGAATTTGCAGCAACTTCTCAAAATACTGTTAGCATCTTTGGGTTTGCTGAGGCTTGTCAGTAACTCACATCAAATCCTCCCAAAAGAAGATCTGATTAGATAGGACTAAACAGTTTTCTGGTAATAATCCAATTTTACACAGTAATTTGCTGTTGCAAATCTAGCAGAAGCTACAGGTGATGAAAAACAACGTGTAAAATGGATAGTCTGACACTTAGAAATTTATACAAAGTGGAGGTTAAAGTTTACATATTTGAAAATCACATATACACTAAATTACCATTTTCTGAATTATCCAAAGACAAATTGCACCGTAACAGCTACAAAAGGCATAGAGTTTTGTTCTGTTTTCCAAGGACACAAAGGGGAGAGCCGAGGAGAAGGGAGCAAGAGATAAATTAACAAAGTAAGACCAACTTGGTTAGGTCAGTCAGAGACATGCTGACAAATTAAACAGCGTTCGTCTATGAACCATTGAACAAAAACAATCATCTCATATTTGCGCATAAAAATTTAAACTGATTCCATGAACATTGAGAATTTTCCATAACATAATATTTTGCCACTGCTATGCACAGAACACTGCAGATGTTAAGTTTTAACTTGGTGTGGTTCTACAGAAATACATGGAAAGTTTTAAATACAATGGGATTTTATCATTCAAGCGCCAGGATGGCTCTTGAATGAAAAAAACAAAAAACAAAGATCTTCATTATTCTATGCAAAAGCTTTATTTTTAAAAGTTCAGTGATCTCATAAATAGAGACACACAGTGGGAGTTTCACGCATAAAACTCCTTAGTAGGTGCTTTCTGATAAGCAGCACTGGATGGCTTGCGTTCTCCAAGGTCGTAACTTCCTTCATCCTTCTTTCTCATGCGATACACCAACAGCAGGATAAGGAAAATTGCAAAGAGAAAGCCGATCACGCCACCAGCAATGACAGCTGAAACACACCAAAAGGGAGATTACTTTGAGGAGAGATTCAAGGGCTGCAGAAATAGCTTTGTCAAGCCCAATCTATTTTACAACACTTTCATAAAAGGCTTCATTTGAACCTCCCCCCCCCCCCCCCAATTTTAAAACCTGGATTCAATGAAGCGACCGGGCAATTGTGCAAATCTGACATTCCTTGGGGAGGTACAATCCTTTCTTTGATTTGCATTAATAATATCACCCAGAAGCCTCAATAAGAAAAATCTGGCTGTGAGCTCAACTAATTCCATACTTTGAGATTCTTTAGTTTTTTCAGTTCTCACATTTCATAGTCTAATCTTCTAATTGCTTTTTCCGTGAAAACACAAAGCATGATATGATTTACTTAAATTTTGTAAGAGTAAGTAGGAAAAAAAAAGCATGCAACTTTTTTTTCCCCCTAGACTTGGATATGGAACTATTCTTTCAAGGATTATGTGTTCTTAGATCCTGCAGATCTTCCCCTCAAAACTCAAATGTTAATACTTTCATCAGATACTTTACAATTAGAGAAACATCCTTAGTGCCTTGGAGTTACTTGTGTCAGCTGCCTTCTCCATGAGGAACTTGTCCTTTTCTTACATTTATTTTGAAATCAGAACGACTTGCAGCAAGCCTGATTCATCTCCACATCCTGCCATCCCCCACACCCAGTTGCTCTGGACCCATTCAGACCCTAACTTTCCTCTTCTCTCCTCCCCACAATGGCTGGCCAAAGACAAGGCTGAGGGAGCTGACAGAAAATAAACTAACTCTTGCCTCTCATTCTGGAATGAGACCCCCTCCCAACCCCACACCCCACACTGCTTTCAGTAGAAAGGTAACATGCAGCAAGCTTTGGCTATACCTCTGAGTTCACTTAGACAAACAGAGACCCATTTAAGGACCCTCTCACCTGCCCCCTACCAGGCTCCTTACCTGCCAGGACTTCTGTTCTTTTAAACAGATTGTCTGGGTGCTTCTCGGTGTACACATTTGTATCCTCTTCTGCTGGGTCCATTTTTCTTTCTGAGTCAGAATGGTGAACTTTGTCCTTATCAATTTCTTCAGGTGACTGGTAAGGAAAAAGGGAAAGATTAAAAAGATGTGTTTAATGTGTTAAAAAGAATAATAACTGTATTTCCAAGTTGCTTCTTTTTTCAAACAATGAGTTTAGAAAATAATTGGGATAATTACTTTGAGTCATGTTTCTACCAAATGGGTGAGTCCTGTGATAAGCTTGCGTAGTTCCTGGTTGTGTGTAACAGAAAATCACGTGTATAGGCAAGATCGGTGGTGAGTTCATAACAATCCTGATGACATGGTTAAGTGGTTTCCGTTGACAAGATCTGTACCTTCTCATCAAGCTTCTGACTTCAGGCCCTCCCTCTCTGGCTGCTCCAACCCAGGGGCATTGTCCCCGGTTCTCCTTACTCCATGCCTTTGCGACACAGGGCACCTGACAGCTACCTTTCATGCATTCTCTCCAGGTGCTCTCCAAGGCTCTTCCCGATCCCACTCTGTGGGCAGTCACCCGTGCTGTGTTACAATCCGCCCCTCTACGTACCCCTCTTACACATTCAGTGAACCCTGAACTACAGCTTCAGGGGACCTGGGTGCTGCAAGTAGCTCCTGCGTGACCCTAAGTCATCAAACTTTTCCGGACCTCGTTTTTTTTCAACCAATGAAGAATGCGCTCAGGCTCTTGGGTATTCTACAATTCTAAAGGATAAGTCTAAGATAATAAACTCTTAAAACATCGTCCCCAGTCTGCATTATCATCATCTACCCAGCAGCCTATAGGGCACTAACCCTTGGCTGCAGCACAGAATTAGATCAATCTTCTTTCTATTTCCATTAATGGTACCAACTACTCTTTAGAGCCCCCAAAGGTAACTGTTTTTGCACATTCTACACTGTATCACAGTTTGCTGTGTCACAAGCGTCTCCATTTGCCTTTCACCATTCTCTCCACTAAGTTCCCCCCTTGGATTCTCATGTCCACAGCCCTGTTCAGGTCTTGTCACCTCACACTCAAGTTCTTGCCACAACCTCGTAACTGCATATCCTCGGAGGCTTCTAGACTCCTTCGAGCCTAATCCCCAGTAGGAAACCCTGCACAGGCATCTCTGTTGCCACCTCCTTACCAAAATGAATCTTAACATCGGTGCCTTGGTTCATGTATTTCTCCTAACTCCAATCCAAATGTTTCACGTTTTTCATTGTCCATCTGTCCTTGGCAAAGCCCTCCCTCATCTTTCATCTCTCTAAAACCCAGAACACGCTGCAGTCTATAACATCAACACATAAATCATCTGCTGACTTCCTAATACCCAGCTCCATCACTGTCCATCTTGTCCATCCACCTGCAGATGCAGTGAAACCTAAAAGGTTAAAAAAAAAAAAAAAAAAAAAAAAAGAGGAAGCCCTACCACTAGAGATTCTGCTTCCATGGGTTTGGGTGGGGAGCTACCACTGATTTTTGTTGTTTTTATAAAGCTCTCCAGACAATTCTATGGTTTGAAAACCACTGGGTTAGAGAGTCTCAGTTTACATGAGTTTTTTACTCCCTATGAGCCTGCAGTTTTGTTGGTCAACACTATTGATAAAAAACACTGTCAACACATTGGGCTGTTATTAAGGCAATAATCCTTTTTAGTTCTATTGCTCTTCCCAGGAATAGCCAACCATCTTCATTAGGACTCTAAGCTGTGGCCCAGTTAAGTGACTGATTGCTTTCTGAAGGTCAGGGTTCATCCCAAATGGCAGCCTGCTACTTATATCGAGAGTCTACCAGGGGTGGGGCACGCCCGGCCTGTGAGCCGTACAAGGCCTGAGAGATCTGTACCAGCTAACATCACACGCCTCACCAAATTGGCCTGACCAAATATAGCAAGCTAATTTTTAAGTTGATAATTTTGTATGTTCCCAAGAATAAGGTTATAAATATCCAAATGGTCCTTAGCAGAAAAAAGGTTCCCCATTCCTGGTAGACAATTAAGGAACCTTGAAAATATCTCATCTTCTTGGGGTGCCTTAAGGTCATGGGCATTTCTAAGAAGGACCATTAACTAGACCAGGTAGATCCACTTGAACTCCAAAGTATGTGAGGCCAGTGGGGCGGGGCCTCGTGAACAGAGCATCTGGCTTCCAGTGAAGACAGTATGTAGCACAGTGTGATCCAGGGTCTGACCTTCCCAAGCCACAGGAAACCCTGCACTGACCGACACCTCAGCGTGCTCTAACTTGCAAAGAGCAGAGGCTATGGATGAACGGTCATTTCACAGCTGCACAAAATACACCCAGAATCTCACTGTTCTCTCACATCACCGTGAGAGAAGAAAATACGAAAGGTCTTCTCAGGCCCTTCTGTACCAACATAAAGCAAAAGGGGGAAACTCCCTGGCAGTAAGTACTCTGCTTGAGTGTCTCCGTTCTCAGGAAATCCGGTCGCTGGTCGGCCGCCTGACAGGAGGACAGACAAGCCGACAGATAAGAACATGGATTCTCCGGGTTCTGAACATTTTCACTGCCCGTTAGCACTGCCACTGGAGTTTAGGGAAGGGAAGAGCGAACTCGAATGGGGGATCCTCAGGACGAGGGAAGGAGGTAAGCAAGGCCGGGTGGCAAATGAGATGGGCATTCAGTTGCCACTGTGAAATGAGAGATGAAGTGTAACTTCCCCACATCATCTCTGTCCCACTGCTATGACAAATTACGTGATGCCCCTCAGGCGTTTTGAGTCCCTAAAGTCATTTGAGAGAGTTAGCACTTCAGTTCCCCCGACTGAGCTTGCAATCCAGCAGCAGGGAAGCAGCTGACACTGCAGGGCTCCACAAGTGTGGGACAGCAGGTCGCCACAGATCGGGGTCACCGCGCTCTCAGAGGGATGGTCCATCAGTGCACAAGCCTCCGGGTGCTTTGAACAGAACATTTGTTCTTTAAATTGAAAAGTTCTATTGTAGGGAAACAGGGGCTTGACTAAGAAGAATTCTTTCTACAGTATACAATTCATCTGAAATGCTTTAATTCTTGTATATATGTGCAGAACGGACGTACCAAAGGCAGCCCAGATGATTAAATGAAGCCAATTAAAGATCTGTCACATCCATGTCTACCTGTTAAAGTGCCATGGAAATGTAATGGAAGGAAAAGATTAAGAGCAATGTTCTGCTTGAACAAATCACTGTTCTTTTTATTTTTTTGTCACATAAATTCACAACAAACTAGAAAGAATATCTATAATGGTGACATTAATGCCACTGTGAGACCCATTCAAAAGCCAAGTCTACATTAATGGTATCCTAGAGGCAATGTTTAATTTAGCTGTGCCTTATAACTACAAAATAAAAAATTTAATCACTAGTATTAATATCATTCATTATCAATACTATCAAGTATCAGTACCTAGAATAGTATCTGACACATAACAAGTAGCACTCAGTAAATCTCCCATGAAGGAGTGAAATTATTACTACATTGGACATACATGATACTAGGAATACAAATATATTAAAATGTTTGGAGATATTTAATTTCTGAGCTTATCTGCCAAACATCTATCTTCTTTATCTTGACCAGACACAATTACTTCCTTAAAGCTAATTTTTAAAAACTTAAATCAATTGTTAATCCATTGTTGTCCACTGACTAGAACTCTTCGTCAAATTAGATTTGGCTTAGGATGCTGTTTATCACTGAAAGCCAACACTGAGTTTCTTGCCTCAAGCTAGTGAGTCCAAATGGTCACTGGTATCAAGAGATTCAGTTGTGGCCCTGGCTGGTCTGGCTCAGCAGTTAGAGCATCAGCCAGTGGACCAAAGAGTCGAGGGTCTGATCCCCAGCCCCAATGGGGGTCATGCAGAAGGCAACCAATCAATGTGTGTCTCTTTCGCTCTCTCCCCTCTCCTTCCCACTCTATATTAAAACAAACAAACAAAAAATCAATGGAAAAATATCCTCGGGTATGGATTTAAAAAAAGAAAAAAGCCCTGGCCGGTTTGGCTCAGTGGTTAGAACTTCAGCCTACAGTCCACAGAGACCCGGGTTCGGTTCCCGCCAAGGGCATGTACCTTGGCTGCAGTTTGTCCCCAGCCCTGGTTGGGTCATGTGGGTGGCGGCCACTCGATGTGTTCCTTTCACATCGATGTTTCTCTCTTTTCCTCTCTCTCCTTCCCGCTCTATCTGAGTAAAAAATGGAAAAATGTCCTCGGGTGAGGATAAAAAAAAAAAAAGATTCAGTCATGACTAGTGCTTCAAATAAAAGTGATCTAGGAACATTTTCACTGCTCATTAGCACTGCCACTGGAGTTTAGGGAAGGGAAGAGAAAACTCGAATGGGGGATAAAGCCAATGCATGTTCAGCAGCCACAATGGATAACTGTGCCACATGTGCTCTGAGGTGTCCCTACCATCAACTGCACCTGGTACTTTGCATTTCTCCCCTTCTCCCTTCTTGTATTCATTCAACTTAATACATTTACAGAGCAGCTACCATGCACAGACAAGCACCTGCTAAGTGTGTCTGCCTCACTGCTCAGAGCTTCTCCTTTCTTTCCTATCACCTGGCCTGTAAGCCGATCAGCCAAGGACCCTTCTTAACCTACAGAGAGCACTCCAGTCTGGAGAGGGTTGACCTGGCTGCTCCATCCCTGCAGACACCCTTCCAGCTGTGTCATTCACCATCCTCCCAGTCACTGGGAGGACAGAAGATGTGGGGGGAGGGAACAAAGGAACTCTGGAAGGGAAGGGAAATGAACGGGTAAGGAAGCCCACCCGTGTTCCTGTCTGCAGAGGGACGCCTCTTACTCCAGAGAAGGCCTGTCACTCACTGCCCGCATGACACGGTCTTCCACAGCCTATCTGCTCCTAAAGCTTGGCACCGACAGACAGGTGAGCTCCGAAAGGGGCCACTTCGGTTCTCAGTTTCCGTGAGCAGCATGCGGCCCGGACTGTCTAGAGGTCTACTACTGCACTGGTCACACGCATGTATTCGGTGAAGTGGTTTGGTCTCGACTGCTCTAACGGAATTCAGTCAAGGCCTGCAGAATGTTACCTGGTGTCAGGGGCCAAGTAACCTGCCCTCACATTTAATCTGCTCAATGACCCATGAGAAATGGGCTCAGAGAAGCTCAAATATCTGACCAGCTCCAGGGTTTGAAACCTAGGCCTTCTTCAGACTTTAATATGCATTTTTCAACTTAAAAAGCTTATGTGGGTGGCCAGTTCACTGCAATATAACATTAATAAGCCAAAATCACAAGTCTTAGAGTTTTCATCTTTGTACTGTTCTTCTTTCTTTCTAAGTCAGCTCTCACAATGAATACATAGAGATGCACTAAGATTCACCATTATCACGGAAAGAGGTCAAAGTTCACATATCATTGATAATGGGCTGGTGGAGACTTTGAGAAAAAAAACTTATTGCAACTAGCATCTGGAGTCTCCTTATCCCATAACCGTGTCAGCATATGTAAAGTACACAGTGGTTTTAACTCAGAGCACATTCTTCACGGAATGAAAATAAATTGTCTTGGCTTGCGCCAAATAAAATGAGAAGGTTTTGTTTTTTAATTTGCTGTGAACTCCTTATAAAGGACCACCCTTTAAAAAATATTCATGAATAAGCTAGGCCTGGATGATAAAAGTAGGTAGGTAGAATGAGTTATTAAGCATGAAAAGACATGCAGGAACCTTAAATGCATATCACTAAGTGAAGGATGCTACATGATTCCACCACATGATGCTCTAGAAAAGGCAAAACCATGTGAAACCATGTGAAAGCACCCGTGGCTGCCGGGGTTTGGTGCGGGAGAACAGGCAGAGCACAGAGGACTTTTAGGACAGTAAAACCGTTCTGTGTGATCCCATAATGGTGGATACATGTCATTATACATTTGTCAGAACCCACAGAAAGACAACACAAAGAATGTAAACTATGGCCTTTAGGTGATGAGGACGTGTTGATGTAGGTGCCTCGATCACAGCACGCGTACCCTCCGGTGGAGGTAGGTGACAGTGGCGGAGGCTGTACGTACGTAGGGTAGGCAGTAAAAGGAACTCTCTGCACTTCCATTCAGTTTTGCTGTAACCTAAGACTGCTCCAAAAAACAAAATCAACTTACACACAAAGAGTAGTTGGTGAGCAAAAGTCAAGACGATCATAAAGGGTAGGTAAAAGCCATTGACAACACTGTAACATAAACACCATTTGTCCTTCTAGATTTTTAAATGGGGCCTCTGAAAAGAACTGTTCTGTATAATCAAATGGCGAGGCAGTTACAGTAACCTGATTACAATGCAAAACAAAACACACCTTCGTTTGAGCAGGTATCTTGTTCTGCATCTTCAGTGTCGTGGTTTCCACCTTTGGAGCAGCACTAGTGAACGGTACTTTTGCAAGCGGCCGGGTTGTCGTCAGCTCGGGACTCTCCACATCCTCGTCAGCTCCTGGGAAAAGCAGCAAAGATGAGCTGAGTACACGAATCAGGATGCAGATGTCCACATGATCAGATAACACTGTCTAAGGCTGACACCGACAGAGCCGTGTTCTTTCAAAAAACCTGCTCATCAAGAATTCTGCAGTCTTCACGGTGATGAAGAAATGATTTCAAAGTGGATCTATGGGCAGCCTGGCAATTTTTTAAAAATAATATCATCCTGAATATTCTCAAATAGCCCTTCTTTCACCTGCAATGTTTAATCTTTCCTGCTCACTGAGATTTCTTCCCTTCCACAGGCTACATTTTCTATTTTAAAAGATAACAAAACAATAACCAAAAAAGGAGAACTCTCCAGTGGACCCTATGTGAGGGGTTGCTGCCCTCGGCACGTCAGCAGGGCCAGACTTTTCCAGTGATGCTTGGCTCCTCGCAAGCTCATGCCCTCACCCCCTGCTCCATGCCCTCTCGTCAGATCTTCCTGGTCATCACACTCTGGTCTTGTTTTGTTCAGGTCACCAAAACCCTCCATGCTTCTAGATCCTGTGGTATTTGCTAGAGTGGTTCTCATCTAATCGAACCTCCCAGCCCCACTGGACACTTGTCAACCATCATCTCCTTCTTAATACTTTCTCTTTGGGCTTCTATGGGTTTGAAGCCCTCATGTCTGGCTTTCCCCTCATGTCTTGGCTATTTGCCTTCTTTGCAGGTTCATTCCCTTCTATCTGGACACAGAATAGCAAGACTTCCTTCAGATTCATTCCTAGGCCTGTTCTTACTCGACACTTTTTATTTCATCCACGTGCACGGCTGCAACTGCCATCAAAATAGAAAAGAAACCTAAGTTTATATATTAGCTTATATCACTGCTCTGAAATTCAGACTTATATATCCATTGGCCTACTTGACATTTTCACTAGAATGCCTCAAAGGTACGATACACCTCTAATATATCCAAAACAGAAATCACTAGCCCCCTCCCTCTTGCCCCACGAACCCGGGGCCACCTTGCAGTGAATGGAACTCTCCATTTCTATAAACCACCGCTTTTTTTAACCCTAACCCAAGGATACTATTTATCTTCAGATAGAGTAGGAGGGAGAGAAAGGGAGAGAAACATCGATATGAAAGGGACACATCCACTGGCTGCCTCCTGCACGACCCCGACCAGGGCCAGGGATGAACGCAACCGAGGTGCGTGCCCTTGGCCGGAATAGAACCCGCAACTCATTGCTCTGCGGGCCGAGGCTCCACTGCTGAGACAAACCAGCCAGGGCTAAAGCACCACTTTCAACTTCTGCTTCCTACCACCCCACTGAATCCATCACCCAGTTCTCCTGATTGCACCTTCTTACCTTCTCTCCCTCTAACACCCTCCTCCAGTTCCAGGTCAGCCACGGTCATCGAAGCCACTGCCCCCTTTCCAGGAACTATCCTACCCGCCTCCTTTCAGTCCCGTCTCCAGACTGGCTGTGACCCGATCACCCTCCTGTTTGAAGCTGTTACAACGGCTCTCCGATGAGCACGAGGTGCCTCAAGCCCCGCCTTGCCCACCTTACCAGCTTCCTTGAGCAACATCTCCCCGGTTGTCCCACGTGGTCCAGCTGTGGTCCCCTCCTGTTCTGCCAGAAAGCGAGGCTAGGTAATTCCTAACCCCCTCGGGGCCTCAGCACAAAGCCATTCCTCAAGGAGGGCCTCCCTGCCATACTAGGTCAGAATCTTCTGTTAAGTAAATTTTTAGCACCACCTTTCTGACCCTCAATGCATTTATCACCGTTTGTAATTACACATTTATCTGTACAGACTGGACTCTCCCCTCCAGGACCAGAGGCTCCATAAGGCCACGGGATTGCATCTGATTGTCCCCTGAGTGCCTAACAGAGTCCCCAGCTCATACAGGGTCTGATCAGTATCTGTCACCAAGGGAGTAACCATCGGCTGTCATCAGCCACTGGTTTCTTTTCTTTTTACCTTTTTACCAGAATAACATTGAGAATTTCTCACATTCAGATACAACATTCTTTTTAAGTTCATCATTTGTCAAATTTGTAATCTCTCCAATAAACGCAAACTCTGTAACTCAAACGAACCAGTTTCCCCAGACAGAGACAAATGACAAAGACTGAAACTCCTCACAGAATCATGTTAATATAATAAGCAGCTGGGAAATTCAGAGGTAACGTGCTGGAAACAGTGCAATGGCTATGACCATGGTTCATTTTCTAATATTTTAATATATCAACTGTCTCCTTTAATTTCAGCATGTACACGCATTATATAGACAACAAACGCCAGGGCACATTGGAATGAATACTGGATTTGGCCCTAAACAAACCAACCAACAAACCTAGTACTACTGGTCCTGGCATATATTAGCTCTGTGACCTTGGCCAGTAATGCTTGAGTCTTAGTTTTTTCATCTGTAAAATGAGGAAAATAATAACTAGCTCCCAGAGGTTCAAACGTGATATACATGTGAAAGCATTTTGTACACATAAAATGTTTTGTAAATGTGCCATCCGTAATGAGGGCTCCAGAAATACGCTGCTCTTTCCTATCAGCTTACCTGGGTTTCCATCAATGTTTTACAGAGACTATGCTTGATGTGCTCCTCTTAAACTGAATCATTTTTTCACTAAAAATGTTTTTCCAATGAGAAAAACGTTTAAGGGCTTTCAAGACCCCCTTGGTTCACAACAGCTACAAATGTGAATTGCAAACTAGGTGTGGCGAGTCTGTGAGGGAGAAGAGATTTTGTAAAGTAGAAAATTCCCTCAAGCCGGGGCTTGTGAAGTTGGGGGTGACTGATCTACCTCCAGCAGCTCTTCTGCAGCAGTCACCCTCTTCATCCAACACGCCGACCCTCCTGCCAAAGCCAGAAACCTGGCAGGCCCCCGCCACGTCTCCTCCATCCCTGACCTCCAGTCTCGCTGTTCTCTCTGCCTGCGACATCCAGCCAGAGCCCAGCTCCCAACGGGAGAGCCCTGTTTACACCGTCCTGCCCAGAATCAACATCAACGCCCCTGCCCCACTGTGGAACTGTTTCCTTCTCCGTGTTCCCACTGTCACTGAATCGTTAAAATAAATATTTTTACTTATAAAAAGAATGCTGGTTAAAAAAATATATATATTTTCACACATTAAAGTTGAAAACATGGAAATGCAAAAAGGAATAAATGAAATTATTCCACCACCTGAGAAAGCATTGTTACATTTTATTTACTAATGTATTCCTAATACCTAGAATGGTATCTGTTCCCCGATGTGGCAGGTGGTTAACAAACACTTGTTAAATAAATGAATATCCTCTATATCTTCTCATGTTCTAATGAGTTTTTCATCTCTGACACAATATTTCCACTCTCTAAGGGCTCTTTCCAGCTTCAGATGCTCCTTTTTTACAGCATCTTCTTGTTTTACCATTAAAGCATCTTCTTCTCTTTCTAAATGTAATACATTTGTCTATAAATTCTCTTCTCCCTGTGAGTGTCTGTCCTCTCCCAGTTTTGGAGTTTGAGGAGGTCTCCACCTTTCATATTACAAATGTTTCCATATGCGTCCAGGGAGCCTTGATTGTCTTGTCACACCTAAGAGGAAACACTGTAACACAGAAGAGGTTTGCCACATGTAGGCATCAAGAGTGAAGAGAGAGCTGTGTGTTTTATTGGCCAGCTCCCAATGCTAGTATCATGGAGTTGTTTCCTCTGAGTTGATCCAATTCCCCAGAGAGAGTCAGGCCAGGCTGTCAGTGTTCCAGAACTGATAGGGAGAAGACAACTGGAATAGCTCAGCATTAAATAACTCTTCGTCTAGGAACTTGTTCTCTGTTTTCAACATGGTACCCCAGTCCCACCTGTGCCTGGTGCACTCTAGTCCAATGACCCTCTGTTTTTTGCTCTCCAGATAATAAACCTCCAGTTTTCTTCTGAGGTTGGAAACATGAGTCCCTTTGCTGCATTATGGTGGGATGAAATTAGGGAATCTGCTTGCCTCTTCTTTTTTTTGAACAAATTTTATTTTTTTTATTTTTTAATTAATTAATTTATTTTTGTTACAGATGCTTTTCCTCCCCCACCCCAATGATTCCCCCCTCCCCGCCCTGTCCCCAGTTTTGTTGTCCATGTCCATTGTTCATGCACACATGCATATAAGTTCTGTGGTTTATGTCTCCCCTACCACCCCCTCTTCTGGGGATTGTCAGTCTGTACCCTACTTCCATGTCTCTGGGACTACCCCATTCCTCAGACTGTTATGTTCATTATATTCCACAAATAAGTGAGATCATATGAAACTTGTCTTTCTCTGTTTGGCTTGTTTCACTTAGGATAATACTTTCCAGGTGCCTCCATGTCGTCTCAAAGGATAAGAGATCTTTCTTTCTTACAGCTGCATAGTACTCCACTGTGTATATGTACCACCGCTTTTTTATCCATTCATCAACTGATGGACATTTGGGCTGTTTCCGGATCTTAGCTATTGTAAATAGTGCTGCTACGAACATGGGGGTACATACATTCTTCCTGATTGGTGTTTCAGGCTTCTTAGGGTATATTCCTAGAAGTGGGATCACTGGATCAAATGGCAGTTCAATTTTTAATTTTTTAAGGTAACATCATATTGTTTTCCATAGTGGCTGCACCAGTCTGCATTCCCACCAGCAGTGTACTAGAGTTCTTTTTCTTTTAAACAGTCAACATTTATATAGTACCTGTTATGTGCTAGGCATTGTTCTAAACACTTTACATACATTAACTATGTAACCCAGTGAAGTGGGTACTATTGTTTTCCACATTTCACTTAAGAGGAAACTGAGGCACAGAGAGCTCACATATAATTTACCAAGGACACAGCTGGTGGGTGGCACCCAGGCACTCTGGAGTCCTTGCTTTGGACTACCACCACACAGTCTACACTCATCACAGTTTTCCTTTGACCACTTGCTTCTTTGTTTGTTTGTCAATCTTCACTCGAGGATGTTTATTTTCCCCATTTTAGATAGAGTGGAAGGGAGGGAGGAAGGGAGAAGAGAGACAGAAAGAAAGAAACATCAATGTGTGAGAGAGACACATCGACTGGTTGCCTCCCACACAACCGGGGTTAGAGATCAAACATGCAACCCAGGTATGAGCTATTGATCAGAATCAAACCCCTGACCCTTTGGTCCAAGGGCCAGTGCTCTAACTGCTGAGCCAAACTAGTCAGTGCTTCACTACTTGCTTCTTAAACAAAATTTTGCAATGGCTGGTGTGGCTCAGTTGGTTGGGCATCGTCCTATACACCAGTAAGTCACCTGTTCAATTCCTGCCAAGGAACTGCCTGGGTTGTGGGCTTAATCCTGGGAAGAAGGTATACAGGAGGCAGCTGATTCATGTTCCGCTCTCACATTGATGTTTCGCTCTGTCTCTTAAAATCAATAAACTATTCTTTAAAAAAATTACTACAGGATTTTGACCTATCATCCAGAGTTTAGTATCACTTAGTACCACCAATTCCCAGGTCCCAAGGGGATTCTGCTGAGTTAAGTGAGTTGCTTCTTGGCTCCCTGCCCCCACCCCCACTGCTGGCTAACTCAGCTTTCTCATGTCTCCCAAGTCTATAACAACAGCCCATCTGATTCCCAACTTTTGAAACACTGTAGCTTTTGTCTTATGTACTGTTTGTTTGCCTTTGTGAGTTGAGGCAGAATTCCTTTACTGTCAGTTTAGCTGGGTATTAAAAGGTGTGAAGGTGTGTGTGATCAGCACACCATCTTTAACCAGGTTCTACATTATCCTCTTAAATGCTTGACATACAGCACTTTCCTGTGTTATGTTACCCATGACCTGTTGTTACAATTATTTTTTCTCATTTCTACATTTCTTTCATCAGACTCGGTTCTTTGAAGACAAGGACCAAATCTTTCTCCTCCCTGTGTCCCAAGTATATGGCTAAGTGTCTGGCACACAGCAAATGTCTATGAAATCTTTAAGTGAATGGCTAAAGTTTTCATATTCACTAATGCCCATCCTAGGCCCACATATATAGCATGACCCCAACTCCTCACCTAGAAAGTACCCTCTGGGCCTTTGGCCATTTTCCCCTAGATCATATGCTTTCCCACTGGTTAGCTTGATAGGAGTGAAGACAAAGATAACACTGGCCAAAACCCTGGGAGAGTCCAGTTTCCAGCTGTAACCAGTCATCAGCTAGGCAGGATGTCCTAATTCTATTTATTTATTTAATCCTCATCCAAGGATATTTTACCAAATATCTTTAGATGGAGTGGGAGGAGGAGAGGAGGAGGAGAAGAGAGAGAGAGAAATACTGATGTGAAAGGGACACATCAACTGGCTGCCTCCTGCACGACCCTAACCAGGGCTGGGGACAAACCGCAACTGAGGTATGTACCCTTGGCCAGATTTGAACTCATGACTCTTTGGTCCACAGGCCAATGCTCTAACTGCTGAGCCAAACTGGCCAGGGCAGGGTATCCTAATTCTAGAGTGGGGTTTTATGACACAGGGAGGCAGGCCATCAAGCAAAGCAGTGAAAGACACAACTTCCTGGTTTGTATCCCAGCTCCATCACTTTCTAACAGAGTGACTTGAGGCAAGTTACCTAATCTCTCCCTGTTTCAGGTTTTCTCCTGAGAAAAATGGGGATAGTAATGGAAATGTCCTTACAGAGACGTTATAAGGATAGGAACAGTGCCCGACACACAGTCAGCGCTCTACAAATTTTAGTTACAACTTCTACGATCTTTGAGCCGAAAACAACATCCTCAGTGCAGTGTGAGAGGCCTTTCAATGTCCAAGGATGAACTTCTTCCCAGCAACCATTGGCCCAAGGCTGGGGCAGGGCACAGCAATGCTAGCCCACGTCTAAGCCTCAACTTGAGCTACCTGATTAGTGGGCTCAGGACTTCAAATGACCCGCTCCAAACCCCTTTCACCCCAATGGGAAAAAGGCGATTAACAGAGGAGCAGGACTGTGAACCTGTTTTCTTATATTAAACTTAAGGACAATCTTGGCAGAAATCAGCAAAATAACTTGGACAACAGCTACAGATCTCTAACAACTCTTGGATTCCTAAGATCTGTGAAATGGGGATAAAAAAAGTATACATTTTTATTATTTCCTGGGACATTTTGAAGATGACAGTTACAAAGCAGTTTTGAGGTGCTAGAGAAAAAAAAGAGGTGCCATGAGCGAAATATATTAATAGAGTTGTGAGCTATGGAGAGGCACTCTTCACACTGAATCTGTGTGTGCAATATCTATCGCTCTCCCGAGAATAACCAGGGCTATTTTTACATTAGGATTGCTCTGTGGGCTCATTGTTACTAGGTCAGCCACAACCTCTCTTGTCTTTTTCAGACTTGCTATCTTCTAACTTAAAACACTCGCTCTTATACAGCTAGATCTCTACCAAAGATACAGTTGACTTTAATTTGTTCTGGGTCATTTTGAAGCCCAAGCCAATCTGATTATCAGACATCTATGTTCAGCATAACTTTTACCATTTGTTGAGTTTACAATGAAAATTTAAAGCAACAGAGGTCCTGGATAAGACTTTCCTAGCATGCTGCTGACCACAATTTCCTAATTTGTTCATTGATTAAATATATGCACAAGCTCATCCTCTTTCTCAGCTCCTTGGGGGGCCATTGCTGGCACAGGTGAAACATTTACTAGGTGTGGTAGATTGCAAAAATGGCTAGAATTGGTTATTTCTCCTTGTATCCACATCCTCTACAATGTCACTTTGTAGCTCTTTCAGAGGTGGAGAATGGGCTAGCTTTAGGACTTGTTTTGACCAATAAAATGTGGTAGGGATGCTGTACCAATTCTAAGCCTAGGCTTTCAGAGGCTTTGCACACTTCTGCTTTCTTAAGATCTCTGCCTCTACCCTGTGAACAAATGGTTGGCCTACCAGAGGAGGAGAGACCATGTGGACCGGAGCCAAGTCTGCCCAGCTGCTCCAGAGATATGACAAAGTCCAGCCAAGGTCAGCAAATCTGCATTCCCAACCTGCAGCTGACCACTGACATGTGCAGGAGCCCATTTAGCCCAGCCGAAATTGCCGACCCACAGGATAATGAGCTAAATAAGTGACTGCTGCTTTTAGCCACTACATTTTGGGGTGGTTTGTTATACAGCATTACTGAGGCAACAGATAACTGATACACCAAGGAGTTGATACCCCTGCTACATTCTCTCTTCTACTTTTGAGAAAATATAACTGTCCTTGATCTCATCCATAATCTTCAACATAGGGCTGGCAGCTTTATAAAACTAGTGTCTGAAGGATTTATTTATGGATGGTTTTCATGACATCACTCCGAAAGCCTTAATAATAAAATTAAAAGCTAATGTTGACAGAACACTGACTACATGCCAAGCAGCAAACACTAAGAGCTATAGATGTGTCAAGCCCTGAAATCCTCACAACAAGCCTATGTGGTAGACTTTTCATTCTATAAATGAGGAAACTGAGGTTCAGCCAAGTTAAATACACTCCCAAGATCTCACAGCGTAGGTGACAGAGAGCGAGTTCACACCAGGCACCTGGACTCCAAAGAGCATGCTCTTAACCAGTGCACCTTGCCTGTCTCCCTGAAGTTAAGTCCCAGGGCCCTGTGTGTGTGCGCGCGCGCATGTGTGTGCACGTGTGCAAGCATGGAGAATGTAGGCGAGCCTGGAAGTAGCTGGCCTTACCTGAGCCTGATGCAGAAGCATAGTCATCGTCATCAATAGGATACACCCCGGAAGCATCTTCAACGGAGCTGTTGTCAAGGTACATGTCTTTATCAGACGTCAGTTCTGCCCTCTGGGAAAGGAAAGAGAAGGGATTCAGGACGGTGAGGAATTGAGCAGTGCTTACTTCTCTTACTCGTCAGGTTTACACGGCAGTGACCAGCCCTCCATCTCCTCTGTTCCTCTGAACCCCCATTTCTGGCCCTGCCCCTCCTCAGGATTCCCTGACAACATGCATCAAGGGCTGGCCACAGACAAGGCCCCCCCAGGGAAGCCTGTGTAGCCTCCAGTAGAATGAGGCTGGCCCAGCGACCTCAGCACCTATCACACGCTTATTTGGTTCTTTTCCACTAAACTTGAGTTTCAGAGGTCCCAGTGGTAGTTCGAAGCCATCTCAGGCATTCACTCTGTCAGTCCCTGTGAAGCTCTCCAACTGGGAAAGCTACCAAGAACTGAAATCATCTGAGACTTCCTTGGGGTGTAGACAAAGGTAGGACGGTGCTTGGGCTACATCATCAAGTGTTGCAGGCCTGGCCACGTTCAGAGCTTGGGCCATGCTTATCACGACAGCCAAGAGCTCCCAGGTGCCTGGGCAGCCGGACCCAGGCAAGTGCCAGGCACGGCACCCTACAAGGAGCAGGGTGGTGAAGCTCAACTGGCAAGGGTGAAAGCCCACCGCGAGCACGCTCTAGGGGTCACTGGCTCAGCAGAGCCTTCACGACAGATGCAAACAGTCCTACACCGCACATTCTTTTTATATTACTGGCACGTGGTAACAGCAAGTCACATGCCGGGTGTGCCGGATCCCTCACTGAGCATACCAGTTCCGCAGCTTCTTAGCTCTTCCTAAGAATTTCCGTTAAAACTCAACCTAATCCTGCCAAAAGAGTAACACGCACGCAGTGAAGGCAGAGGAGACACACTCTTTTCCAAATGGTTTTAGTAAACTGATACTTTACCACCAATAGCTCATAAAAGCCCAGAAACAAACAAAGCAGACTCCCAGTGTCTGAACAATATTTGTGTTTGGAAACAGGTAACTCTCATTATTGTCCTAGTTTTTAAATTCAAATAGAAGGTTGGTTCCTAACAGGAACTAAAAGAGAAATGTTTCCCTTACTACCTTGGCTTTCATCAGATTTCCTCGTAAGATAAAACTTTCTGTTCTGTGACCGGAATCTCTGGGGGTGACAGCAGAGTCGGGCCCTCGACAACACTGCCACTTTATTCTCTCAGGTTTCAGCGGCTGGCTGGGGGTGCTGGAGTATTTTCAACCTGAGCCCATACTCCCCAACGGGCTTCGGTGCCCACGGACAGGCAAGCATGGGAACGCGTTTTATTTGAGCTACCACACCGGCACATTCTGAGAACTGAAACAGGGATTGGGTTCCCAGCGGGCTGGCTTGCACGCATTGAATGACCACCCTGAGCCAAGAGCGTGCTGGAATCTTTCTGCTAGAATGGACAGAGCTTAACTCTGCGATCTGAGGCCATCCTGTGTTACACCGGTTTCCAAGGCTATCACCATTCCAGGCCGTCACTCCCAAGGCTTGTGAAGTGAATCAGGAGCCCTGCATTCCAAGCTCCACAATCAACTTAAATGACCCCTCCTATGCACACAGCTCCTTGGAGGGACTGGACTCAGATTCCTCATCAGTCTGCCCCAGCTCCCGGCAGTCACAATGCCTGGCAGATAGCAGGCGCTCCGTGAATGCTGCTTGGGCTGTATGTGCTCCCCGCTCAAAGCAATCCTTGGTTCTGCTTGGATCAACCTTCGTCCTGTGCACTTCATCTGAGGGCCCTCTCGTCCTTTCTAAATCCTGTCTCCTCCAAAGCAACCTCTGGCTTCTCCAGTCTTTACATGTGCCCTAGCTATAAACTACTATTTTGGATTTTGCAGCATGTGAACAATCTAAGGCGTCAACTCTCACTGTTTATTTAACCATCACGTGTATATTTCTCCTGCCCCTCAGCTGAGTACGACTCACAGGAGGCAGGTCTTCAATGGCCTGTGTATGCTCCCTACCCCTCTCAAAGTGCATTGGGTACTTAGTAAATATTTGTCTCAGGTTTCAGAGTTAACACATGTCACAAGACCTCCAGGGTCCCTAAGGTTAAAATCTCTCACTTCTAAGCCCAAGCGATCATCTGGCCTGTACATGCTGCACTGCATCTAATCAAGTAACTGAAGAGTCTTAAAAGTAAGAGAAAGACTCGGTTTACATACTAGGAACTCATTGGATGACTTTCATTTTCCTCTGGGTTCTGTCAAAAAAGTTTGATGTGGCATGGGTACCACTAAAACATTTCATTCCTGTCTGTAAATTAGACTTATATTCATTAGGTGACCAGTGGTCCAGACTGACACATCTGTCAAAGTAACAGGCAGAGGCTCAGAGATTCTGGCCACCTCACGATTCTCACAATGCAGGCCCATAAGTAGCCTGACAGGCAACTCACTTCCCCAGGACCGGCGGCTCCTTATCAGGAGATGTCAGACCAAATTACGACAAGATGTGGGGTGGAGGTCAGGGCGTGTCTAGAGAAACTGAGCTGCCTTGGTCTGCAGGACGAAAGGGTGGTCCAGGACCGGCAGGATGTTTAATGTGCTTAAAGGCAACTGAAAGTATTTGTTCCCCCATCCCGCAGTGTGGTGCAAGTAATTTTACATCACACTAACAGTCATCTCCGGCTCTGATGTCGGGGGCACCAGGCACATAGGAGGGATAGCTAAAATCTTTCCGGAGAGTCCAATTTAATAATAAGTAGGTCCTTCTCACTTTGTAGCAGATAATGCTCAAAGAATATCTCCAGTATCTTTCCTTGACACAAAAAGATACCTTTCCAAACATGACAACTTCCTTTCTGCGAAGACTCCACACTCTGTTGAAAGGATTTCTGCAGTTCACGTAGCTGGAGAGGAAAATGAATTCTGCAGGAACACTGCCTCAGCATCTCTTGAAAGCCATCAAAAGGGGTGACTTAAGACAACTGCCTTCACCCCTAGGCAACTGTGGTCTGCTTCCTGATGTGGAACACACTGTGAACATGCTCTTGCTGGATGACACAGAGCCACCTGACCCAAGTGACCAGGGAGAAGGGTGCAGAGGCAAGGCTGCCCAGTGCGGAGCAGCCGCCAACGGGAGGATTCACGCACGACGAGGTTGTTTAATTTGGGACCACTGCTGCGAGGAAGTGTTAATACTGTTGGCTAACAGGGCTTGGAGTACAAGCTGCAAGAAAAACAAAGCTGGGCTTTCAGACCTTTCCCCCCTTGGCTGATGCAAGAGGAGCATACAGGAGAGCAAACCTGTTGTGGAAAGCAACTAGGTACAGCGAGGGGAGTCGACAGCAGCCCCAGGCAGAGGTGCCAGCTTCACGCCACGTTCGACGGGAAACTGACGCGCTAAATGGCCCCCGTAGACGAGGCGGTCCTTTCCAGAGGAGCGTGCACTTTTGACTCGGCTTTGGATCCCCACGGTGCCTAGCAGGAAAGCAAGGGACATATCTGTCTCCTAACGAACCCCATCTCTCCTGCTCCAGCGCCAAACTGCAGCGCCTTGATCATCTCGAGCCTGGACCATTACTCTGGCCTCCCTGCTTAGCCACTTGCTCAAGCCTTTGTCTTCGAATCCATGCTCTGCAGAGGGACCCTTCCTAACCATGACCGAACACATCCCTCCCCTTTACTGGCTCCCTATCACCTATAGGACAAAATAAAAACTCCTTAGTCTTGAAAGTTCTTTTACCATGTGGCGTCGCCTGCAATGCCAATGCCAGTTGCTGCCACTTCTACCCAAGCCCCAGACTCCATGACCATTCCACCTGGTGACACCAATCTCCTTTACATAATACCCCTGAGAGGAAATATGCCCCTTTAAGATGGAAAGTTGAAAGCAATGGTGATCTAAGTCCTACATATTGGGGATGAAGAAAACTAGCATTTTGATAAAATGATTCAGCCCAAACGCATATGGTGTTTGTAACAGATAGGAAGAGAAATGTTAATTCAATGCATAAAAGACCATCAAGGGCACTAATCTTGGTTTTAGTAAGAAATATCACAAACCTGTCCATTTTCTCAGCAAAGAAAAGTTGTGAGATAGCAACCAAACAGATCTAATCGCTGGGTTTTTCTCAGGTAGGTAAAGCCCACCTCAAACAACTACCATGCGTCCACCTGCCAGTGTAGAAATCTGTTATTTAGAAATCGAGGTCCTTCCTGAAAGACACACAGCTTCATCTAGTAGATGAATGCCTTCTAAATGCCCTACACGAATGCAACCAATAAGATAAATTAAAGCTCAGAGCAGTAGGTGTTAAATCACTTCATGCTTTAAACTTAGGTTAGTAACAAAATCAGGCAGTGGAAAACCTAACTATTAATGACCACCACTCACCCCTGGACCCAACCTCTGGATAATTAGCCATTGGACACAACAGTAAACTACTCATGTTGCCTGATATTACATTCTGTATCACATCACAGAAAACAACACCCAGATGATGATGCCTCTTAGTTTTAGGATCAAGGCACATCCAGTCCTGATGTAGATTCAAATGTATAATACATTTTATGGTGATTACAAAGTGCCAAACCGGCTGTAACTTTAGCTTATCTTTCCAGAGGTGACATAATAAACTCCTCTATTACTAGCTAACGCATATATTAAATGAAGTAATTTCTCCCACACAGCTCAGAGATGATATACTTGCCCTTATGATGAACTTGCCAATTCTGGGCTCAGTATAGCCCAAAGGAACACATCATCTTAGACTGAGCATGACTAGACATTACAGACATCAAGATCATCTATTTTTAATCAAAAGTTAAGAGCCAGAACACCATGGTGGCAAATTAGCTTAAAACCTTCCAGTCACCCTGGCCAGTTTGGCTCAGCGGTTGAGCGTCGACCTGCGGATCAGAGAGTCCTGGGTTCAGTTCCCACTAGGGGCATGTACCACAAAAAAACAAAACAAAACAAAAAACCTTCCAGTCTAGTTAGTGGCCAACATGGAGCCCAAAGCTGGTTGCTTACTCTGGGTTCTTTCTGCTACACTCTAATGACCCAT